ATTGGATACTTAGCGCAGAGCTTGGTACTTTTCGTACTTCGTAATTAAATATTGTTGCATTGAGTTGCTTCGCTATTTTCTTCTTGTTGTAACTTCTCCCAGATACACATTATTAACATCAGTCTCTCTCCAAGTGCTATTTTAAACTTACTCGACAGTTTAAAACCCCAACATATTAATAAAAAACGGACTTTTCAAATTATATTTTTCGCGTGATCAAGAGTGTATTGAGCTTCAAGGTTGCCAAAAATGTTTTCCAGGGGATACAGCCGTAATGACTGGCCATACGAACAATGAATTTTATACCAATTGAAAACCCGTTAAAACGAAGTTTAGGTGTATACATTGATTCTCTCTAATAGAAGAACTAAGGAAAGTTTCAAAAATTGTACAGTTACGATTATTTGAACTCTGAAATGGAAATCAATACAGTAGAAAAGAGAATGTATATCATTGTAATACTGGTAGGTAATTGAGAAAATATCTTCCGAACACATTGTCGGAATGTTTAAGACAATGATTCATTCATTTCTTTATCATTTATTTTCGTTCTCTTCCGGGAGCACGTATAAATAGCATTCATATCACACAAAGAGTGAAGAAATGCTCGTCAATTACGATCCTATCGAGTCGAATTCTTATTTTTGCTGTTTTTTGCACTGTCGTTATCCAATACACTTCCGAAGTTATTAAAAAAATCGTAATTTCTTTCTGAACAAAGTGATTCTGCTTGGAATGTAAATGAATAACATGTCTTTCATCTGCACCTCTTAATGACGACTGTGAGAGATTTGTAATTTTGTTGGAACTTACTAATACAATGAACAACAAAGGATCGTTGATCGAATAAAGTGCGTTGCTTTTCGTGAAACTCGTGATGCTGGTGCCGCATTCATCACTCGACAATGGACTGCAGACAAAATGAGTATGTTACGCGAAGCACGATCGACAACTACCGGCATAGGATGGAATTGAAACCTTTTCACATTATTCGAAAACAATTAAAGACAGTAACTCATGTTTCCAATCGTTTATGGCTATGCGACTAGTTGAAGAACTGGATTCAGGAAGACTTCCTACACCTCACACCATCTGATGAATTTTTCGTTTGGAACGTTCGGAAGTCAAGCCATTACAGTGACAGAATTTGGGCTAAATCTATCGAAGATATTGAAGAGGATGAACGATAGCGCGAAACAGTACAAAACCAAGCATGCGTTAGTATTTTTATTATTTTCACCGCAAAAATTGCCTTGGGTGATCAAAGGTAAAGGAGAATCATGGACAGGTCAATATTTCCATCCGATACGTCTTTCGTTTCCTCAGAAATGAAGAAAGGTTATTGATATGGGCCAAATAACGTTTGTTCACGATAAAGTCCCCGATGCATGAAAGCAAATACGACCCTGATCTTAATACAGCTGGACACATTGAATTAATAGTGACGGATGAAGTCAAGACAAGAATGTTATCTGAGACCGTACATGGTCGTTACTGTGAAAACAGATTGAAAAATCATATATACGACGCCTTAGAAAGTATGGAAACAAACACTGAACTTTTTAAAATCTATTATGTTCCTACCCATCTCGATTTCAGGCTATCTGACAAGCTAACGGTCGGCATACAGATTATTGACTATGTATACGAGCTTAATAAAAAAAAAAAACTTGGTTTGATATATCCATCACTCCTTAACTGTTTTCACTTACAATTTTACCTTCGGAATAGCGTTTTACTAGATGGAAATCCCTTGAATCTTCGATAGTTCGTATGACTAGTCATTAGGGCTGTACCCCAC